ATCACTTTGAATTGTCTATGAAAATAATAAAGGTGGGATATAAATAAATAAAATAGTTTGCTTGGTTATTGCAACAAACAAGAGACATCAATACAAGTAGTCCTTGACTTATAACTGGTCCTCACACTTACAAACATCACAATATCCCCACAGCCACATAATAAAAATCCAAGTGCTTGGCAACCAGCTTGTATTTACAACAGTTGCAATGTCTTGGGGGGGTCATGTGGTTGCCATTTGCAACTTTCCTAGCCAGCTTCCAACAAGCAAAGTCAATGGGGGAAGCCAGATTCACTTAATAACCTCATGATTCACTTTACAACTGCAGTGATTTACTTAACAACCATAGCAAAAAAAGCCATAAAATCAGGCACAACTCTCTTAATAATGGCCTTGCTTAGTAATGGAAATTCTGGTTCCCAACTTGTAATTGTAAGTTGAGGACTACCTAATGTGTGTCCAGACAGTTTTCTGGGTGGGTGGATTTCTTTGTACAATTTACTTTTATATATTGAATTTAATACAGCAATTCAGTTCAGTGGGTAAGTTTTGTTTCTGACCTGAATATTCCAACCATAAAAGACTAATGGTATTTATTGTTCACCATTTTTGTAGCTTGTAAAGCAGATCGTAATTTGCATGTGCTTAGACAACAAAACAAGGCAAGGAAATGGCAACCCACTCCAGTATTTTTGCCATGAAAACCCCATGGACAGTACCAAAAGGAAAAAGGATATGATGCTGGAAGATGAGCCCCTCAGGTTGGAAGGTGTCCACTATGCTACTGGGGAAGAGCAGAGGGCTAGTACTAGTAGGCGCCAGAAAGAGTGAAGCGACTGGGCCAAAGCCGAAAGACGCTCAGCTGTGGATGCATCTGGTGGTGAAAGGAAAGTCCGATGCTGTAAAGATTTTTTCTCCATAGGAACCTGGAATGTAAGATCCATGAATCAAGGCAAGTTGGACATGATCAAACAAGAGATGACAAGACTGAACATCGACATCTTAGGAATCAGCAAACTAAAATGGACAGGAATGGGTGAATTTAATTCAGATGACCATCAGATATACTACTGCGGGCAAGAATCCCTCAGAAGAAATGGAGGACCCAGTTTGTGGGGGCAATAAGCTGACTTTGTATAAATATACAAAAGTATGAAGGCTATTGCTTAACGCATTGTAAGCCGCCCTGAGTCTCCGGAGAAGGGCGGCATATAAATCAAATAAATAAAATAAAATAAAATAAATAATAATCAATAAAAGAATAGGAAAAGTAATACAGGTATACAGTCCCCAAAGTGACAGAATGATCTCAGTTCGAATCCAAGGCAAACCGTTCAATGTCACAGTAGTCCAAGTCTATGCCCCAACCACTGGTGCTGAAGAGGATGAAATTGACCGGTTCTATGAAGCCCTACAGCACCTTATAGAATTAACACCAAAAAATGATGTCCTTATCATCATGGGGGATTGGAATGCTAAAGTAGGAAGCCAAAAGATAACCAGAATAACAGGCAAGTTTGGCCTTGGAGTACAAAATGAAGCAGGGCGCAGGCTGATAGAATTTTGTCAAGATAATACGATGGTCATAGCAAACACTCTTTTCCAACAACCCAAGAGACAACTCTACACATGGACATCACTAGATGGTCAACACAGAAATCAGATTAACTATATGCTCTGCAGTCAAAGATGGAGAAGCTCTATACAGTCAGTAAAAAGACCAGGAGTTGACTGTGGCTCAGATCATGAGCTTCGTGTTGCAAAATTTAGGCTTAAATTGAAGAAAGTAGGGAAAAGCACTAGGCCACTCAGGTATGAACTAAATCATATCCCTGATGAATATGCAATAGAGGTGACAAATAGATTTAAGGAATTAGATCTGATAGACAGAGTGCCTGAAGAACTATGGACAGAGGTTCGCAACATTGTACAAGAGGTAGCAACTAAAACCATCCCAAAGAAAAAGAAATGCAAGAAAGCAAAATGGCTGTCTGAGGAAGCTTTGCAAATAGCTGAGGAAAGAAGGGAAGCGAAAGGCAAGGGAGAAAGAGAAAGATACACCCAATTGAATGCAGAATTCCAGATCCCTTCAAGAAAATTAGAGATATCAAGGGAACATTTTATGTAAAGATAAAGGCATGATAAAGGACCAAAATGGCAGGGACCTAACAGAGGCAAAAGAGATTAAGAAGAGGAGGAAAAATTACACAGAAGAACTATACAAGAATGAGCGTAACATCCCTGATAACCACGATGAGGTGGTCACTGACCTCGAACCAGACATCCTAGAATGTGAAGTCAAATGGGCCTTAGAAAATCTGAGCAACAACAAAGCTAGTGGAGATGACAGTATTCCATCTGAGCTATTCCAAGTCTTAAAAGACGATGCAGTAAAAGTGCTATATTCAATATGCCAGCAAATTTGGAAAACTCAACAGTGGCCACAGGATTGGAAAAGATCAGTTTACATTCCAATTCCAAAGAAAGGCAGTGCCAAAGAATGTTCAAACTATCGCACCATTGCACTCATTTCACATGCTAGTAAAGTTATGCTTAAAATCCTACAAGCTAGGCTTCATCAGTATGTGGATCGATAACTACCAGAAGTACAGGCAGGATTTTGAAGAAGCAGAGGAACTAGAGATCAAATTGCCAACATACATTGGATCATGGAGAAAGCTAGGGAGTTCCAGAAAAACATCTACTTCTGCTTCATTGACTATGCTAAATCATTTGATTGTGTGGATCAAACAAATTGTGGCAAGTTCTTAAAGAGAAGGGAGTACCAGACCATTTTCTTTGTCTCTTGAGAAACCTATATGCAGGTCAAGAAGCAACAGTGAGAACTGGACATGGAACCACTGATTGGTTCAAAATTGGGAAAGGAGTCCGGCAAGGCTGTATACTGTCACCCTGCCATTTAACTTATATACAGAGTACATCATGAGAAAGCGCGGCTAGATGAATCAAAAGTTGGAATTAAGATTGCTGGGAGAAATATCAACAACTTCAGATATGCAGATGATACACTCTAATGGCAGAAAGTGAAGAGGAACTAAAGAGCCTCTTGATGCGGATGAAGGAGAGTGCAAACATTGGCTTGAAACTCAACATTAAGAAAACTAAGATCATGGCATCCAGCCCTCTCAATTCCTGGCAAATAGATAGGGAAGAAATGGAGGTAGTGACAGATTTTATTTTCCTGGGCTCCAAGATCACTGCAGATGGGGACTACAGCCAAGAAATTAAAAGACGCTTGCTCCTGGGGAGGGAAGCTATGGCAAATCTAGACAGCATTCTAAAAAGCAGAGACATTACCCTACCAACAAAAGTGCATATAGTCAAGGTTATGGTTTTCCCAGTTGCAATGTATGGCTGTGGAAGTTGGACCATAAGAAAGGCTGAGCGCCAAAGAATCGAGGACTTTGAACTATGGTGCTGGGGAAGTCTCCTGCGAGTCCCTTGGACTGCAAGGCGAACAAACTGGTCAGTCCTAGAGGAGATCAACCCTGACTGCTCTTTAGAAGGCCAGATCCTGAAGATGAATACTTTGGCCACTTAATGAGAAGGAAGGACTCACTGGAGAAGAGCCTAATGCTGGGAACGATTGAGGGCAAAAGAAGAATGAGACGACAGAGAATGAGGTGGCTGGATGGAGTCACTGAAGCAGTTGGTGTGAGCTTAAATGGACTCCAGAGGATGGTAGAGGACAGGAAGGCCTGAAGGAACGTTGTCCATGGGGTCACAATGGGTCAGACACGACTTCACAACTAACAACAACAAAGACAACAAAAGTCATCTATTGTAACAGCAAGTACAGCATCATACAATTTCTACTAAGAAGAAAAAAACAATCCTTTGTTTTGACTGAAAGTGTCAAGTTAAATGGATCCAAATAGTCAATTTGGCAAACATGCTGAACCTCTCTAGTGATTATTCAACATAATTTCCTAAAACTATTTAAAATGCTCTACATAATAAATCAGACTTTCTGTAGAGCTGAATGTGAGTTATAAAGTTGAGTAGTGTCCTTAAAACAGAAAGTCATTGACCAAAACTTAAAATGATGGAACCTTCTCATTAACCAGGAATACTTGGTTATATGACCTATCTCAGACCCACAACAAGCTATTATTAGAGGTAGGATATGGCTTACCATGGCAAAGATATGGCTAAAGAAAGTTAATTCTGATTTTTGTTCAAAAACATCAGTGACGAGTTCATTGCTTTAAACAACCATCATTGAATGCACAATTTCTAGCATGCTTGGGAGCCTTTGCAAGATGGTATTATGGTTGTCATATCTGTTCACATTGGAAGGAATTTATACAGCATCTATGCCAACAATGCAAATCCAAACTGGAGAAACTCAACCCCTGTTAGTATGGTGGTCATTTTCTTTGAATGGAAGCAACACAGGCAGAACTTTAGAATTCTGCATCAGATTTGGCAGGTGATTCTGAGTATGATTATAACATAAGCCAGCCTGTCTTTCCATGCTAAAAATCTTAGTTAAAGGATGCAACTTGGTCTTTACTTTGCTGCCTCAAATTAAACAGTTAATATTATACATTCCTTTCCTTTTTTTACCTACTTTATTAAAATCCAAGCATACAACATTGTAGATCAAGGGTCCCCAACCCCCGGTTCGTGGACCGGCACCAGGTCATGGCATGCCAAAAACTGATCCGTGCAAACAAACGAAGCCCCATCCGCAGGATGCAGGCAGCACATGAAAGCACGCCCTCTCCAGTCTGTAGAAAAAACTCTCCACTGAACTGGTCATTGGTGCCCAATAGGTCTGGGGCCACTGTTATAGATAGCATTGTAAAGTACTTGAAGTAGAAGGCTGTAATTTCTCTGCTTTACCCAGTGCAGTTGCCAGGTAGAGATACTTTTTTATGAGTGATACCATAATACTAGTTGCAAGGTAAGAGGCATTATACAGCCTCCAAAGGGGGGCAGGGGGGACTTGGAATATTTCACTTTTTAACACTTACCACAAATCATCACTCAGATGCTGATCGCATGAGTACTTTTATGTCCACCATTTCCTCAAACAATTGTCTGCTTTTTAAACCTATCCCTTGGACAATTTATTTGCCCTTAAGCCGCTGGTCTTAAGTGTGTTGTCATCTGTAGAACAACCAAGAAATCAAAAGCTCAGAACCTGAACCGGACTACAAAATATCTCCCCCCCCCCCTTTTGGGCTTTACTATATCATCTTATCTTGTCATATAATAGGAATAATGTTTATGGCGCTGAAGCCTCAGCTCCACTTGGCATTTAACCAACCTGGCAAGTTGTTTATTGCTTTGTATGCTCTGCCACTATAACCATTATCCCTTAAATCTCTATTCTTTGGTAATATACAATCCAGCAAATGGCTTCTGTGATTGGCTAAACATGGCATGACTCTAAGGTGTATTTTATAGCTGATATAATGCAAACCTGTATGGATTACTTTGGTCAACAAGCACTTGTATTAAAAAGAAAAGGTGGCCTTGGGAGGTGCCTCTTTCCCCACCCCCACCCCAGAACCTTTTAAGTCACAAGGTGTTCTTGCTGCTTTTGACTTCATACTAGCAAATCAAAAGGTTGCAGGGAAGGCCTTATTTTGCATATTGCTGCATTCAAACATAGAAATGGGATTTTTTTCCCCTTTTCTGTAAGTGCTTTGATACGTTGGTGGCCATGGAAAATTGATTGTGACACAAAAACAACTTACTTTCAGATTGTTGTCTGAAAAACATATATCCAGCGAATGCTTCCGTCCTGTGAATATCTGCTGCAAATGAATAAATAACGCAAAAAATGATTAAATAACTCTAGAGGAAAGTGTGCTTCTTTCTATTTTAAAATGCATTGCTCGGGAAAAAAAGCTAAAAAGGAAGTGTATGGTATAACAAATGCATTTATTGTATTTGAGAGAAAGACTTCCCAGTGCCAGGTGTGTGTTCCTTACACTTGAGGCAGATTCTCTTGGGAAAGATAGACAGGGCTTTAGGGAGATGCACGTTCTTTCCCAGTGGATGCCTTTAATTCATGTTTAAAGAAAATGTCAATTCTTTCATGCCTCCCTTTTTATGAAGTCCATTTTTCACTTTTGCCTTAGTTGATATTGCTGGGATGTCATCCCCTGAAGGGTCAGCATTATTGTTCAACACTGTCCCCAGTTGTTCAGTTTTTATAGACAGGAGTACAGTTTGGCCAAGTAATTCCAAAAAGATTGAACAACACAGTAGTTTGTTAAACTGATTTCATTTCTCCTTTGTTGTTTATCTAAACATTAGCATAGATCTTTTTTTACATCTCAGGGATTAAGTATTTGTATCTGCTGGCTTCAGTGGTTTTTATTATGTTAGATGATACAGTAATCTCTACAATTTTGTTAAAATTCTATTTTGCTAAAGTATGTAAATCAGCATATATTGGTGTTGATTAGATCAGTCAGTAGTTAGATATAGATCTGATGCATAAATAACATCTTCGGTATCTATATAGCTCAGTATCCTTCCTTGTCAGTAGAGACTAAGCTTGTATAGTAAATACCTGCATGTCTGAAAGAAATATTTTCAGGTGATTTAAAAGATTCATATGTTTTAATTGAAACAAATGTTAATTTGGATTCAGAAATGCTTGTATCCAGTAGTTCATATAGGGAGATTCATGTGGAATTTTTAAATTATTTATTTTTGTAACTAATAACTTTTGTGGGTTGACAAAGCCGAATATATCAGTTGATTTCACTATTTCTTTGTTCACTAGGTTTTCATACCACAATTTAGACAGTTCTGATGCACAAAGAAAGAAAACCATTTAAATCTATTTCAGCCCGTTACTGTGAAAGCAACATCTGCAACTTAGAAACTGCAGAAGCCTAGCTCTTACAAATTGAACCCTAAATCATGTATGCATACTATGTAACTTTGCCAGTGTTGTTAAATCACATTTCCCAGCAGCATTTAACAACAAAATCAATAATAAGAGATAACATTCAGTAACATCTAGTGGGCTATAACAAGGTAACATCTTCCTGATGTCTACATGGTCACATTTATGCCTTTTTTTTAAATAATGCAGAGGTGATGTAGAATAAGCAGAGAATGTCTTGGGATTCTATACTGTACACAGCATATACTAAAAGAGGTGAAGGCCAAAGAACATGAGGCTGACCCAGAAGAAGATGGAGAGACATCAAAGACACACTACAACAGCAGCAAATAACAATGGTTCAGGCCACCAGAAATGCAAGAACTCAAGCTTTGTATCTCACTCAACACCCGAAGTAGTAAAAGAAAAAGAAGATAGAAGTGATTTGCCATTATGTTACTCTGGAATGTTTTATCATCATTCTAGTCTGCAACCCTTGGTGATTTCCTGTTCAGTTCCTAATCAGATTTGACCTTGCCTGTTTTTTTTTACCAGATCAGTCAAGCTTTGCTCGTTGTTGGGATATTAAGTAATATGAGGCTGGATTTATTATAAGGCTTCCTTTTATGACCGACGCTTTAAAATCAGTAAATTGATCAGTATGTCTATGGAGATTCTCAGTCATCTAGGTAATGGTTGTCCCAAAGGTTCTTTTTCAAGAGGCAACTGGACTTCCTTTGTTTTTCCTTGAAGACATTTCACTTCTCATCCAAGGAAGCTTTGATTTATATTGACTGTTTCCTAATATGATTTGATTGCTTATTTGTTCCCTATGACTATCATTAAGTGTTGCACCTTATGATTCTCAACGAATGTATCTTTTCTTTTATGTACATTGAGACTATATTGCACCAAGACAAATTCCTTGTGTGTCCAATCACACTTGGCCAATAAAGAATTCTATTCTATTCTTCAGAACTCATCCAAGAAGCTTCTTTAGAATTTAGAAGCAAAACATCTTCAAGAAAAAACAAAGAAAGTCCAGTGGCCTTTTGAAAAAGCACCTTTGGGATAGATCAGGGCTGTCAAACTCACGGCCCATGGACCGGGTGTGTCATTCACTGGCCACACCCAATTTAGCGAAGAGGAAAAAAGTCACTTGACGACGCCGTAACGTGAGATAGATGATCAGCAGATGAGATAGATGATCCTGCATTTAGAGCTGTGAGATACAGGGCCTTTTTAGTGATTTGGAAAACATTCCTCACATTCTTTGGTGATCTTCGAAAGGATTTTACATTAATCAGGTTATTTAATTAGTGAGAAGCACACTATATTAAGCTTTTAGCTGCTGCTACTTTATTTGGCATACAGTATTTTTGTTTTAATTATTTGTGGTTTTAGAAATTGATATGCACATGTAATGAATTCTTAAAATCTAATCTGCTTTCAAAGATTTTTTTTTAACCATAGAAAGTGGACTATGACTCTATTAAACATTTTCCCCTTTAAATTTAACTCAAAAGCAATTCTATTGTAAGTGGGAATATATGCTAATTTTTAAATAATAATTTGAAAAGTCATCTGAAGCCAGCAACCATTTATTTTTTAACATGCCTATAATTTAAAAATGGCTAAACTAGTTTAATCCAAATTGGATAATAAAGAAAAACCTCCTGGGCTGAGCTTCTGTATGCCAGGTTCTAGCCTAGAATGGATTTTTATAACCAAATTATAAACCCCTTAAAAATTAGTGTTTAAAATGGAAATGTTGACAGACCTTTAACTACAAAAGCACAATAATGTGTTCTCTACTCTAAAATATAATTAAAGGCTTAAATATTATTTAATAGCCACCCTTCCAGGAATCGGAAAGCTAAGTCATTCTCATAATAAGGATTCATTGCAGAGTGTAAGAACTAGTTGAGTCCAACATGCTATGGCCTATAAGCACATGCATTTCTCTGTCAAATGTAAATTATACTCTACAGTTCCCTTCCTCTTCTAAAATCCTTTTGAAATCATGTTGGTTTTGGTGTGTAGTGACCCAAAAACCTTTAATCTATAATCTGAGGAAATGTGGCCATATAGGTTGTCAGTGAGAACCCTTCCATCATGATAGGTTATTGTCTACCATGGGGTTGATTGGTAAGTTTGCTAGCTCTCATCCAGGAGGGTTGATGAGGTGGATAGCCTTTAAAGGAAATCTGGGCATTACAGCTGGTCAAGGGCAGACAGTTGACCCTTCCTCCTTCCTTTCAGATACTGTACCTGCTACTAGTTGGTCTCAAAGGAAACTCAAGGGGGTTCAGGGAACAAGAAGAGGAGAGAAAGTTATATTGATCTATTGAATGATTAATTGATGACAGGAAATCCTAAAAATCAAGATCTTTAGTCTCTTCCAATTCTGAATTTATAAACCTGTTCCTTGTTTATTACTCAAAATGGAAACTACTGAAAGCCCTCAATCAAATGTGTTTATATCTATGGGCAATTATCCAGTAGAAAGGGCACAGCTTTGTGTCCTTCTTCGGGCAAGTGAATACCAGCTGTATGTTAATCAAATAATGAAGCTTATCGCTTTACTCTATCCCCAGTTTCAGTGGATAATTTAAATTAAGCAGGCTGGATATGGATAATCACATATAAAAATGTGACTGTAATAGAGATTTGATATGGAAACTGATTTGGTGTAATAGAAAGCAGTACTTCTCAATCATCTTTAACATCTGCCTTGGACCTTAGAAGTAACACATTTTTATTTTAGCATTTTACCCCTTTCCTTTTTCACACACCATTATGAATAATTTAATGCGAAAAGTAGTAAATTAATGTTATAAAATCCACAGGAATAACTCAGTAATCGTCAACCACTTTTTATTTTTAACTCTTCCCATAATGTTCTAAGTAAAATAGCGAAGAGCTGCCACCAACTGCAAAGGGAATTGGCATCAGGGGTGAAATGCTACCGGTTCGGGCTGGTTCACCCGATGTATGTAAAATGTAAAAAAGTTCCGATGATCATCTGAGGTATGCGCGATCATCGGAACTTTCTTTTTTTTACTTTTTAAGCATTTTTTTACTACCGATTCTCCGGAACCGGTAGTTAAAAATGCTTTAAAAAGTAAAAAAACAAAAACAAAAAAAAGTTCCGACGATCATGTGTCGCTCAGCTGATCGTCGGAACTTTCTTTTTTTTTTAAAGTTTTTAAAAAGTCTCGGACGATCGCCTGGCACAGCTGTGATCGTCTGAGCCTTTTAAAAAACTTTTTAAAAGCATTTTTTCACTACCTATTTGTCCAAACCGGTAGTAAAAAATGCTTTTAAAAAGTTTTTTAAAAGGTTCCCAAGATTTGTGCATGTACGTGCACAGCGTGCACTTGGCCCACAGTGTGCATGTGCAGCCAGCAAACCGGTTCAGGTTTCACCACTGATTGGCATCCCAGTTGCCATCAAAGTAGACACCAAAGAAATGACACACTATGGAAACAAAATTGCCTTTCTGTTATGTGGTACTTACAGAATAATGTTATCAATATTTCTATTTTCTATTTGGCCAACATTTGTGTTGTGATAACATTATAAAGAAACAATTATTGGAATAGTTCAAGCAACCTCTTATGGCTAAATTGCAGTGTTCTAGCTGATACAAAGCAATAGATAAAAACTGACATTGAGAAAATTGCTACTAGCTTCAGTTCTTCGGCTTTTAACATATAATATAGCTTCCCTGGGAATCATAGCAGGCCTTTTCCAGTGATTAACCTGGCAGTGTCTGAAAGACAAATTCTCTAATTAACTACAGAAATATGGTATCAGAGGAAAGATGGATGAGCAGTTTCCCACATACGATGAGATTATCCTTCCCAATCTCATAACTTTTAGGTGTGTTGCAATTTTCCTAATTATACCTGCCTTTGTGGCTATATTGGGTAGGGTGTACAGGAATTGTATTCCAACACATAAAGGAGACAGAAGGTTGAAAGTTGCATTGTAACATTCCTCTGTAATTTAGCATACACAAGTTCTCTCCCAAATTGGAACAGTATTCAGTGTTTTATATAACTACAGGTGGAGAATATTGCCAAGAATGACTATACTATCAAAATCTCCCCCAATAATGCAGCATTAAATAGTTTAGGAAATTACAGTCCTGGAACAGAATTCAGGGATCTGGTCTCTCTTGCCTTGGGTGGAAAAAATATTCGTGACTCCACTATCAGAAAAGAATGGGATAAGAAAGTTATAAGGAAAACCTTTGGCTTGCTAAAAAGAACTTTAATACTCATCCTAGATTCAACAGAAAGCATCTTGTTGATCCATTAGACTTCTGGAGGAAAGTTCTACAGACAGATAGGTCAAAAGTGGAACATGAGTTTTGTTTCTGATGCAAACCACATCCCACCATAAGAACCTCATGCTAATTGTCAAGCTTGAGCTGATAGTGTCATGGTTTGGGAATATTTGCTGTTTCAGGTCCTGGATGAGTTGCTATCATTGAAGGAAGCAAGAGCTGAAGCTGAAATACAAGTATCTTGCAGCAGCAGCAGCAAGAAAATGACCTAAACATGTGGTATAAGCAAGTCTTTAAGAGAATGAATGAATAGGAACAAATTCAGTGTTTTGGAATGTCCTACCCCTAAATCCCATAGAAATGTTATAGCAGGATTTGAAATAGTACCGAGTTGAAGCAATTTGCTATAGAGATATGGATCAGAATTCTTACCCAGCAGTAGATTACTATCCAAGTTATTGGTGCAGAGAATATCTGCATGGGATGTGATCTCATTACTCCCCCACAGCACTGGCAAATGTGTGCTGTTTACTGAGGATAGCTGCAATCGTGCCATTCCTGTCTTTGTGAACTCCCATTTTAAACTATTCCCAGTTTTAGCTTCAAGTTTACATAGCTGTGACAATCTGATTGCAGTAAATTAGAGCACTTTGGTTTTTTCCTTATGTGTGCAAGAGTTTGGGTTGTAGAGGTATCTGCCGTGCCTCACCTGCAGCACCCTTGGAAACTTCATGAAGATTTTGTATACTATCATTTTGCAAATTAGAAATGGCAAGTACTGAACTTCAGCCAATGAAAGAATGTACAATTATATAAGAAGCTTATAAAACTCTAAATAGTGCTTGTTGCAACAAGCATAGTGGCACAGTAGTGACCTTTTTTAATTCAGCTAATTTTGAAAAAGTACGTTGCACCTCTATAAAATAGCCATCTGTATTGGTGTGCCAGTTTTGGTATATTTTGTACAATATCAGTGTATCAGTTTGATATCGTGGTTAAAGGCATTGAGCTAGAAACAGGGAGACTGTGAGTTCTAGCTCCAGTTGGGTGACCTTAAGCTCTAGTCACTTTCTCCCAGCCCTAGGAAGGAGGCAATGGCAAAAACACTGAAGAAAACTTGCCAAGAAAACCACAGGGACTTGTCCAAGCAGTCTCCAAGAATCAGACATGATTGAGGAGAAGGAAAAAAAGTGTTGCATTTCTATGAAATAACCATCTGTATACATTCAACGCCACATTGCCAAGAAATCCAAGTTTACAAATCCAGTTCTAAATTCAACTTAGCATTTGTCATAGTTTTGTTTCTCCAGAAATTAGGGTGCTTTCCCTGATTTTCCTTTTCTCCCTCACAAGAACTTCTGAGGCTTCTCCACTCAGTTTCTTAGAAATGTTATGAGCCTGTTAAATATGCAGTCCTGCTATCCCTGGCGTTTTAGAAGTCATAGAATACAGTGACTTTCCCAACCCTGGAGTATAGGAGAAATGTTCTCTTTGGAAATAGAAATCCAAGTCCAGTTAACTTATCCTCCCATCCCCCACCCCAGCAAATATTAAAGTCTCTAGTAGTCCTTATATTTATGATGTGAAGTGTGTGGGAAGGGGTGGGGGATACATGGGCATTGAGTTGGTATACCAACTAGATCCCTACACCTACAAAATGGAGTGTGGAATAACATCATTCTGGAGCTAATTAATAGAACATAATTTGTTATCAAGGGGGCAAAAATATCTCACTGACCAACAGCAAATAAGGTTAAATTAATTGTTACCTGTCTTGCTGATTTTATGCTACGATTCCTGGGAGTCCCGTAATCAAATGGTAAGGTCTCTTCATTAAGGTGCAGTAATTGGGAAAGTAGCTGTTTTAAAATAATTTTGGAATCTTAGGATTCTTGGCTCTTACGCTATGTATCAGACTTGGTGGATACATAACAGAAATACAGCAATGCTTAGACACTGCTGTGATCAGATTAGAAAGTGCTTAATCAGACATTTTTGCGAATTCATAGAGGCTTTTTCAAAACAAATGTGTTGAGGCTTGAGAAAAAATTACTTTGGTATGACTCTTCCTACATAATGAGTACGCGAATCTGGCTTTTCACACAAGGCAAAGTTTTGTTATTATACATAGCAGCAACAGAGCATGACTAGAAATTTTATATAAATACACATTTGCATTCCTACTTCTTGTCTGAAAGTATTCAAAAACCTTTCACCAACTGCATCTGTGCAGGACCTCTGAAACCCAGCCAACTGCTGTAAAGCATGTAACAACATGGAAGGGCCTCCAAGATATTTTTGGCCGTGCATACCACATGAAAAATCTCATAAGTGAAAAGTTCAATGAGGGTCTTTATTTTTACAAGGATGAGAGGGAATTTGCTACGTAGGTCAGTGCAGATTGAGATTTTATGTATCTTTTGTTTTCTGTAGTTATTTGAAAATAGCAGTTTAAACATTTCTTTCCCATTTAGGAGCATGCCCCTGCTGCTTTATTTTTTGGTTTTGTTCTTTAGCATTAAGAGCCATATTCGCTTCTGTTCAGGGTTATACTTTTAAAATATTTGTTTTGATTAGGGCTGGTCCTTTGTGAGCACATTTAGACACATATATCATTTAAAAATTTGGTGGGAAAAGAAGAATAGATAAGTACACGTTGTTAAATGTTTAGATGTAGATTAACTCAACTATATCTTTTTTGAGCAATTTGTTATTAAAAATGATTCTAGAAAGATTTTTAAAACTACAGAAATATAGAAGAAAAATAGAAAAAGATTAAGATTATGAAAGTGTAAGAGAAGAAATGAAGTTAACAAAATAGCAAGAAAAAAATATCTAAAGAAGTGACTTAGGTGGGTCTAGGTAGGACAACTCCCTTGTCAAGGGACAAGTTTCCGCAGGACAATTCAATGCTGTATTAATCATTTCATTCAGTTACTTTTATTATTGATTACCATATTTTCCTCAAAATTATTGCAATCCTTGTATTTCTGGATTGTCTTTATTTTATTATTATTGGCCACAATTCTCTCGAAATTAATTTAACTTTTGTATTTGTTGAATTGTCCTATGGTGAGTAGGCCACAGCGAGTTGTCCTCTTCCAATTATAAACATAGCAATCTCCACCTTCCCATATTGCATATTATAGTTCCATTCTTCCCATAAACAAAGCTTTTAATCAATAAATCTCAAAAATTAGCAGTTACTTTTTTTATCCATTTTCAATATTTTATAAAGATTTCCCAAACTCAGCCCTCTTCACAATCTATTCCTCCATTATAAGTGTTTCTGTAGTCTTCCGTCTTTGGCCATATAAAACCAATTCTCCATAATTTTTTTACATGGATATCCCTAAATCTTAATTACAAAAGTTCCAATTTCCTCTGAATGTTAATTTTTTAAAACTCTGCATCACTATGTATTTGTATGCAATATCTTTTCACTTTTTCACAAGTCCATCATGTATGATAAAATGTCCATTCAAGTTTTTCACATTTCCAACAATGATTAAAAGTATCTTTAATTCTGTTTTTATCTTACTCTATTCCTGGTACTTCTTAATCTGTATTAAATCTTAATTGTGCATATGAGAATCGTTGAAAACCAGATCCCTCTGAGGTCAATTGTTTTCTCAATTTCATCTTAAGCTCCCCATTTTCCTTTGCTAGCAAGTCTTTACATGTTAACCATTTGTCTTTGCCAATTGTTCTTTTCTATAATAAACTTCTTGAGCTGAAGCCAACAAAGCCTGGGTTTGTATATCTATTCCAGATTTGTAATACAGTATAGCATTCCGAGCATAATGATTTTTAAAATTTAAGTTTACTTTATCATACCGAACTATATCTATATCTCTCTTCTTACCTTTCACTTTCATTTCTAAAATAACCTTGGGAGAAGACTTTAAAAATAGTTTGATTACTAGATTTGCTTTATTTGGGATTCAATATTTTAAATAAGAGATTATTTTTTTTCCAAGCAAATGAGTTATGAGGGAGACTCCCATCACGCATTTCAAGCTTGGAGTGGCAGTTGGTCAGACTGCAGGAAGAGTTCTCTTCAGCCAAAGACTTGCATAGATCAAAATTTTAGATTGCTCATTTGTTTTTGCCAAGTGTTTTTAATGATCTCACAATTAAGCTAGTATCATATCAAATGAGTCAGGAGAATACCTTGTTCTGAGTTCATCACGCCCACCAACCTGTGATTTTGTTTCATCTTATTGCTAATCTACCCCCAACCCATATATGATTCCTCTCATAATATTTCTTCTGAAATCTTCAGAAAACGTATAAAATAAAAAAATGTGTACCTCGTTAATATACTTTTTTTGCAATAAGAAATATTCCATGTTTATTACTCTTTACTTCTATGTTTAAATTATGAATTGATAATGCATTATGTTATTAAATATCTTTCTTGGGGGATGTTTATTATGAGAAGCTGCCGTTATCATGCTGGGGTGTTGTTAGTCCTCTATTCTATGATAACTTCTTATGCTGCTAGAAGTCAGTATTACAAGACAGTTTCTAGAGAGGACTGTATGTGTGTTTTCCTCCTGACCGCCATCCTTTGTTTTATTTATGAATGATACATGTTGCTTCTAGCCTATTGTATATTGCTTATTGAGGAAAGAAAATGAGTCAATTATCCGATTGTGAATTATAACTTCATTTCCATCTGCCATCTGCCTATATTGGAATGAACTAACCTATGCTACTGGGTTTAAGCCTAAGGCAAATAGTGCTTTGAACTATCTCTACTAGATTTGAAATTTTGGATTTTGGAGCAGGAAGCTTTTAATGTTTTTTAGTTTAACTTTCCAAACTTTCCAAATTTTTCTTAATTGGTTTTGAATTAAACTCTTTAAGAAAGGAGATATACGGTAGCTTTAAAACTGCATTTTAAAGTATTGGCTTCAATCTGACTCACAAATAAATGACCTAGTAATACTGAGGCTTTCAGTGGCTCTTTCTCTTGACACATGGTGGACACAGCAGACTATTATTCTATGAAAGTTCTTGAATTATTTAAGACAGGGGTGTCAGACTCAAGGCCCGGGGGCCAAATCTGTCCCACAGGGTGCTTAGATCAGGCCCGTGGGGCCGCCCTGGAAATGGCAAAGGACCAGCCAGCGGTGCCTCTGCCAGCGAAAATGGAGCTCAGGAAGGCTGCACGCCAGAACTTACAGCAAAATTGTTTGATGGCTGTTCCAGTTCAGAGTGCATATGGTTCAATACCAGGCTGTTTTTGCAGAAAGAGGAAGAAATGGCAGTATAGGAATAACAGTGAGTTAGAGGAGATTCAGTAAGTGACAGGCTATTAGTCGGTGATAGATTTGAAGAAGTTCCAGGTATAACTTTCCACAGTTCAAGTCAAAATAAGCCCTCCTTGAAAACCTGGGGAGTTATTGTCAGTCAGTATCATTAGTACTAGAATAGCTGGTTGGATCATTATGGATCAATAGCTGGTTGGATATTATTTGTCACTGGCTCTGAAACAGTAAATCCCTATTCTAAGAAAACTTGTAAAGCTATATGATTATCAGAACATTCTCCATTAATTTTTTTTTAAATTTGATTTATATGCCACCCTTCTCCGAAGACTCAGGGCGGCTTACAATGCGTTAAGCAATAGCCTTCATACTTTTGTATATTTATACAAAGTCAGCTTATTGCCCCCACAATCTGGGTCCTCATTTTACCTACCTTAGAAAGGATGGAAGGCTGAGTCAACCTTGATTAATTAAATCAATTAATTAAATATTTTAAAGCAGTACAGCCATACTCTTTCGGCAAATGAGTGCTAATTCAGATTTTTCTCATTCACCCAGGCTCAAAAAATGGTTGTGAACCTTGTACAATTTTGAGTGCAGAATGCCTTCCTGTTATCGCTAACTTAAGTCAGGCTTTAAAAATAGTATAATTCCTGTGTGTAACAAGATTTCTCAAGAACTAACTCAACTATCAAACCAGCAGGATGACACCAGAAAAAATGACTTAGTTTTTTTTTTAAATTATTTATTTATTTATTTTATTTATTTGCATCCCACATTTATTATGTTTATAAATAATTCAAGGTGGCGAACATATCGAACACCCCTTTCTCCTCCTATTTTCCCCACAACAATCCTGTGAGGTAGGTTGGGCACAGAGAGCGAGAGAGAGAGAGAGAGAGAGACTGGCCTAAAGTCACCCAGCTGGCTTTTCATGGGACTTGAACGCAGCCTCCTGTTTTCTAACATGATGCCTTACCCACTAGACCAAACTGGCTCTCCTACAATAATCCATAAAAGTAGGCAAATTGCCTATAACTCTGACTCTCGGTGTTTATCAAGTTGTCAACTAAAGATAAAAACAACAACAAAGTTGAGCAGAAAAACAGTAGCCTCAAGCGAAGTTCACAGTTTAGACGTGTCCCAAAGTCCCAGGTGACTAACTCGGCTAAAGAACTGATTTTTTTTTTCTAGGTACTTGTGACTGTACAAGTGAGGACATATCTGTGTTATTGAACTGCCAAAAGGTGTGCAGATAATCACATTCTCAAGTGTCTATTAAGGATATGGAGGCATTTGGTGGTAACAGCAAAGGAAAGTCAAATTCTGCCCTCAAATTTAGTTCAGTACGTGGAGATGTAAAGCTCCCTTCAAGGAGGGGGGGGGAAATAGGCAGAGAGAACATATGATTAAGATCTGACAAATGCCCACACAAAAAGGTTCTAAATAGAAGTTTTCCTTCCCTCTCTGTGAATCAACAAGGTATGTCTGCCAATCCAGTTGGAACTTTAGGATGCAAAATGAGCCAATGCAGCTTATAGATGAGACCATAGAAAACAGCAAAGAGGGAAGCCTGTGTAATA